GTGCTAGCAGAGCACCTCACCCTCCCTGATTGAACTAACCTCGTTATCTCCATACTGATTTATACCTGCCTATGGAAATTTCCATTACTTGCATCTGAAGAAGTGAGGTTCTTACCCACGAAAGCTTATGCTCCCAATACTTCTGTGGGTCTTAAAGGTGGCACAGGACCCTCTGTATGTTTAATTGCCTGTCCACTGTGACCCTTAAATCCTTTTCACAGACACTGCTTTCCACAATACAGCTCGCTCATCCTGTAGGCATGGCCTGCATTCATTGTTCCTAGATGTATAACTGCATTGGGCTGCACGTTTTGCATTTTGTTTGGATAAGACTACATTACCAAGCGATTCAGACCACACTATGACTGCACTGTCCTCATCATTATTTACCATTCTGCCAATCTTTGTGTCATCTGCAAATTTTATTAGCAGTGATTTTATGTTTACTTCCAGATCATTGATAAAAATGTTGAATAGAGTCGGGACTAGTACCGGTTTCTGCAGAACCCCACTAGAGACACCCCATTCAATGATGATTCCCCTACTTTTTGAGATCTGTCCACTAGCCAATGCATTCTCAATGCATTCATCATGTGCTCTATAGATATTGTATAGTGTATTGTATTTTTTAAATCAGAATGTTGTGCAGTGCTAAGCCAAACACCGTACAAAAGACTAAGTATATTACATTTACACAGTTGCCTTCATCAACCAAACCTGTAATCTCATAGAAGAATAAAATCAGTTTGTTTGACAAGACCTGTTTGCCATAAAACCATATTGACTGGCATTAATTATATTCCTACTATTTTTTAATTCTTTATCCGTTGAATACTATATCCGCTTTTCCTTTCTTTTGACTGGCACTGATATCAGACTAACCAGAATGGACATTCTGCTTGCCCTTTTTAATATTGGTACAATACTGGCACCCTTCCATCTTCTGGAATTCCCCCACTATTCCAGATTTAGTAAAAATTAACATCAGCGGGTCAGAGAGCTCCTCAGCCAACTCTCTATTAGGTGCAAGTTATCTGGGCAATATTTGCTACAGCATAGCCTGAGGGGAAGAAGTCTATCTTTCCCTAGCACTCTGAAAATTTCTCCAGCACAACACTCATCTACATATTCCAAAATATTGAATGCACTTTACAGACTACAGATATCCCTGCATCCACCACTAAAATGCATCCCTCTCTGGGGTGGAACACAGTGGTACTTAGCTGTCGTACAGTAGTGTTGCTGTGCTCAGTTTTAGGAGAGGAAATGAAAAATTCTATGCCATATATAATTGAAACTACAGGGGAATTTAGATGGGGGAAATGTAATTACTCAAGTTGAAATCTAGCCAGCACATCAAGGATAATATCTCTAAAATGTTAGACGTTTTTGAGGAAGAATTGAGTCTGAAAGATGTAATTATTATTCATTAGCATTATAGATTTTACCAGGGCCGGATTAATCTTTTCGGCTCCAATACCTGAACCGTGACCCCACCCCCTGCTCCGCCCATGCTCTGCCCCAAGGCCGCACCTCCGCTCAGCCTCTTCTCCCTGGGCCCCCCCTGTGCTCTGCCCTGAGGCCCCACCCCCACTCGGCCTCTTCCCCTGAGGCCCTGCCCATTGCTAACATGGTGGGGAAGGGGCGGAGAGGAGTGAGCAGGGGCGGGCCGGGATCAGAGAGGAGTGAGCTCCGGGTGGGATCTTGGGGAGAAGAGGCTGAGTGAGGCAGAGCTTCTGGACAGAGCATGGGTGGAGCAGAGGGCAGGTCCACAGTCTGGATGCCAGGGCCCCTTCTGAGTGTGGGCCTGGCATCATGGCACCATTGGCACCATTGTAAACCTGGTACTGTATTTTACTAACACATTGAACCTGATTCTTATTTGCACTAAGAACACTTCACATTGCTCTGGCAGTGTAAAAGGGAGTAAAGTATATTGTCATGGGGGTAAGAGGGAAGGTTCTCTCATAGATTGGTAACTGGTTAAAAGATAGAAAACAAAAGGTAGGAATAAATGGTCAGTTTTCACAATGGAGAGAGGTAAATAGTGGTGTCCCCTACGGGTCTGTACTGGACCAATCCTATTCAACATATTCATAAATGATCTGGAAAAAGGAGTAAACAGTGAGGTGGCAAAATTTGCAGATACAAAACTACTCAAGATAGTTAAGTCCAAAGCAGACTGCAAAGAGCTACAAAAAGATCTCACAAAACTGGGTGACTGGGCAACAAAATGGCAAATGAAATTCAATGTTGATAAATGCAAAGTAATGCACATTGGAAAACATAATCTAGGCAACTAGACACATAAAATGATGGGGTCTAAATTAGCTGTTACCATTCAAGAAAGAGATCTTTGAATCATTGTGGATAGTTCTATGAAAACAGCCCTCTGTGCATCGGCAGTCAAAAAAGCTAACAGAATGTTGGGAATCATTAAGAAATGGATATTAAATAATACAGAAAAAATCATATTGCATCTACATAAATCCATGGTCCACCCACTGCTTGAATACTGCATGCAGATGTGGTCGCCCCATCTCAAAAAAGATATATTGGAATTGGAAAAGGTTCAGAAAAGGGCAACAAAAATTATTAGGGGTATGGAAAGGCTGACATCTGAGGAGCGATTAATAAGACTGGGACTTTTCAGCATGACAAAGAGATGACTAAGGGGGATATGATAGAGGTCTATAAAATCATGACTGGTGTGGAGAAAGTAAATAAGGAAGTGTTATTTACTCCGTCTCATAACACAAAAACTAGAGGTCACCAAATGAAATTAATAGGCAACAGGTTTAAAACAAACAAAAGGAAATATTTTTTCATACAATGCACAGTCAACCTATGGAACTCCTTGCCAGAGCATGTTGTGAAGGCCAAGACTATAACAGGGTTCAAAAAAGAACTAGATAAGTTCATGGAGGATAGGTCCATCAATGTCTATTAACCAGGATGGGCAGAGATGGTGTCCCTAGCCTCTGTTTCCCAGAAGCTGGGAATGGGTGACAGGATATGGATCACTTGATGATTACCTGTTTTGTTCATTTCCTCTGGGACATCTGGCATTGGCCACTGTCAGAAGACAGGATACTGGGCTAGATGGACCTTTGGTCTGAACCAGTATGGCCGTTCTTATGTTCTTATACCCACTTTAAGGCCCCTTTACACACGTAGAGCAGTGAAAATGAGAATCAGGCCCATTATGTTTTACTTACCTGGCCACCCTTCCACGCAGGTCCCCAAATCCATGTAGGTATTTATGGTCCAAACTTTGAACAGCAAAAGTTGTTCCTGTTGCAACATTATCTCTTGTTCTTATTTCTTTCTCCAAAACCTATAAATTCATAGTCACATCCTATTAGCTTGTTTAGTTTACCACTTCATTATTCATTTATTAATATTTCAGAGCTTAGCAAAAACATCCTTTAAAGAAAGAGTTGTCAAAGTTTTCATTTCAATTTCTACAGCACAGCAGTACTCCTTTATAGTGTCTATCTAAATTACACAAATAAAAACTACATTGCAAGAACATTTAAGTTTGCAAAGTCAAGCAAACAAAAGTCAGGAAATCCCAAATGAAGGTTGCCTATGAAAACTTAATTTGCCCCCTTTGTGCATATGCATTATGATTCAGTCTTTAATTATATGATCACATGCTATTTTTTTCCATAGGACCCAGACTGCATTCAAGTGTACAGCATGAACTGTTTTATCCTCATTGTTCAATGTGTGGGCACATACCTTAATTACTATATTCTATTCAAACCCTACTCTGAAGATAGAGTTATTAATTTTCTCATGTGCTTTTCAAAGGTGTTCATCATTATAACATCTGAGTGCTTCTCAAACATTAATTTATTTTAAAAACATCCTGTGAGGTAAGGGTGTGGTATTACTCCCATTTTACAGATGGATAACTAAGGCGCAGAAAGTTTAAGGTAAAAAAATCTACTTATTTTGGGTGCTCAAAATTTTGGAATCTAAGATATGGGATATGGATCTGAGGCTGAAGAGGATCCTAATGGGAGCAGGAAGGAATCCACTGATTGTCCTTCGCGTGGAAACAAATGATACTGCTAGATTTTTGCTGGGGCACATCAAGGAAGACTACACCAGACCAAGAAAGACACTTAAAGAAATGGGAGCTCAGGTGATCTTCAGTGGAATTCTACCTGTCCCTAGAAGAGGACAATGAAGATGAGACAATATTACGATGGCTCAGGCAGTGGTGCTATAAGGAGGGTTTGGGGATGTTCAACCACTGGGAAGATTCACGGACAGAGGACTGTTCTCATGGGATAGACTCCACCTGAGCAGGGAGGAAAATAGACTTCTGGGATAGAGGTTGGCACAACTGACTGAACAAGCTTTAAACTAGGAATCTGGGAGATGCTTATGTAATCTCCATGCCTGATTCCAATACTCACTTTTATAGTCCAGTCACCCTTTCAAGTGGACTCTTCTGAGGATTACCCCTCAAAGCAAAGTTTATTCAAACCATAAAGAAGGTGGCGTGGAGTCTGGTGGTGAAGTTGGCTCCATGCTCTTTCTTCGCCGTGTGTATGCTGAAATGCAGATTTGCCTTGTCTCCTGTCATTTCCCCCTCCTGCTGCCTCAAGGACCCTGTATACTACTTATATGTAAACTGAAGTAAACACACATTCCTTTGTTTAAGACAGAACTCTTTAACAACTTTTGGCTAGTCAAGATTGTGTGGGTTTGAACATGTGCTAGCAACATTATACGTGGGTATTAATAACTTTACATATAATTTTGCTACACACATTTCACCATGATATTATTGACCAGCAAGTTATCAGTTTTCAAATGATACCTCCCAAAGCATATTTTGTATTAAGACTATTACAATGGTGTGTACAGTGTGAATAGAGGGATGCTTTCGGTCACAGAAGTTACCAGTGGAGTTCCTCAGGGACTGGTGCTGGGACCAATCTTACTTAACATTTTCACTAATACCTAGGCACAAAAAGTAGGAGTGTGCTAATAAAATCTGCAGGTGACACAAAGTTGGGATATATTACCAATATGGAGAAGGACCGGAATATCATACAAGAAGATTTGAACAACCTTGAAAATTGGAGTAATAGAAATGGGGTGAAATTTAACAATGCAAAGTGAAAGATCATGCACTTAAGGACTAACAACAAGAATTTTTGCTGTAAGATGGAGATGTATCAGTTGAAGCGACAGAGAAGGAGAAAGACCTGGGTGTTTTGGTCAATCACAGGATGATTAAGAGCCGCCAATATAATGCGGCCATGAAAAAGACTAATGCAATCCTTGGATGCATCAGACGAGGTATTTCCAGTAAAGACAGGGAAGTGTTGTTATCATTATACAAGGCACTGGGTGAGACCTCATTTGGAATACTGTGTGCAATTCTGGTCTCCCTTGTTAAAGAAAGATTAATTCAAACTGGAACGGGTGCAGAGAAAAGCTACTTGGATCATCAGAGGAATGGGGAACCTCCCTTATGAAAGGAGACTTAAGGAGCTTGGCTTGTTAAGCCTAACAAAATGAAGTCTGAGAGAAGTTATTATTGCTCACTATAAATACATGAGAGAGATAAACACCATGGGAGGGAGAGGAATTATTTAAGTTAAGGGCAAATGTTGGCACAAGAAAAAAATGTATATAAAATGGCCATCAAGAAGTTTAGGCATGAAATTAGACAAAGGTTTCTAACCATCAGAGTTCCAAGGAAAGTAGTAGGGGGGGCAAAAAAAATCCTAACTTGTTTTAGTACTGAGCTTGATACATTTTTTGGAGGGGATGGTATGAAGAGATTGTCTACAATGACATACAGCCCATGTGCAACTGCTATTAGCAAATATCTCCAATTGCTACAAGATGGGACACTAGATGGGGAGGGCTCTGAGTTACTACCAAGAATTCTTTCCCAGGTGTCGGGCTGGTTGGTCTCGCCCACATGCTTATGGTCTAATGGATTGCCATATTTGAGGTTGAGAAGGAATTTTCCCTAGGTCAGATTGGCAGAGACCCTGGGGTTTTTTAGCCTTCCTCTGAAGGATGGGGCATGGGTCTCTTGCTGGTTTGACCTAGAGTATATGGTAGATTGTCTGTAACTTTAAGTCTTTAAATGAAGATATGAGGACTTCAATAACTCAGCCAGAAGTTATGGGCCTATTATAGGAATGGGTGGGTGAAGTTCTGTGGCCTGCGATATGCAGGAGGACAGACTAGATGATCATGATGGTCCCTTTGTGCCATACAGTCTATGAGTCATCTAGGACTTGACTTTTTTTCCAGAGACTTAGCATTACAGGATATAGCAGTTAATACGTCCAAAGCACAGCCCTGTGATTTTTTTTTAACATGGGCAAAATATTGTATTTTTCATTAGCCTTGTTCTCAGAAGTGGCTATTCCATTTTGGCTGAAGATTTGTGTGTGTGTGTGTGTATATATATATATATATATAAGCTGAGGCACACCACCCAGCAGTGGGACTATTTGAGCTT